CCACAATGGAATACCATTTCAGATTTTTAAAAAATCCTATGATTTGCAATAACTTATATGAACATGGAGGTCACTAAGCTACATGAAGTTTGCCAGACACAGAAAGACAAATACGACATGATCTCATAGATGAGATATGGATTCTAAAGAGTCAAACTTCTCTCAAAATTGGAGTCAGTACTTTCAAACTCTGTCACTGCTTTATCAACTAAGTTTATTTAATATCCTAAATATTTTGTTGTTTGAAATCATCATTTCAATAATGTTCACAGTGTCTTCACTTAAAATGGAGTAGATTCCATTTCAAGAAACCCAAGTTCGATCATAAGATTGCAACAATTCAGTCACATCTTCAAACTCCACTTCTAGTTCTCTGGCTATTTCCATGTTATCTGCAGTGTCTCCTTCCACCAAAGTCTTGAATCCCTCTAAGTCATCCATGAGGGTTGGAATCAACTTTTTCCAAATTCCTGTTAATGTTGGTATTTTGACCTCTTCTAATAAATCACGAATATTCTTGATAAAACTTTTTCAGGAGATTTTAAATTTACTTTGCCCAGATCCATCAGAAGATTCATTGTCTATGGAAGCTAGAGCCTTAAGAAATGTATTTTTTCAAGAATAAGACTTGAATCTGAATTACCTGGGCTACAGAATGGATGTTGTGTTAGAAGCCATGAAAACAACATTTATCTCCTTGTACATCTTTATCACAGTTCTTGGGTGGCCAGGTGCATTGTCAGTGAACAGTAATACTTTGAACGGAAGCTTTTATCTGAATAATGGATCAAAACAGTGGACTTTGAATGTTTAGTAAACAAGGTTGTAAACAGAGGAGCTGTCATCCAGTCTTTGTTGTTTAATTCATAGAGCTCAGGCAGAGTAGATTTAGCATAATTCTTAAGTACACTAGGATTTTTTGAATGGTAAATAAGTATTGGCTTCAATTTAAAGCCACTGGCCCCTAATAATAGAGTCAGCCTGTCCTTTGAAGCTTTAAAAGTTAAAGCCAGGCATTAACTTTTCCTCTTTTACTATGAAAGGTTTAGATGGCATCTTCTTCCAACATAAAGCTGTTATGTCTGCATTGAAATCTGTTGTTTAGTGTAGCCACCTTCATCAGTTATGTTGGTTCGATCTTCTGGATAAGTTACCACAGCTTCTCCATCAGCACTTGCTACTTCACCTTTTTGTTTTATTAATATTTTTTATGTACGGAGATGGCCTTTTTTCTGAACTTTCATGAACCAACCTCTGCTATCTTTAAACTTTTCTTCTGCAGCTTCTCTGCCTCTCTCATTCTTCATAGCATTAAAGAGAGAACCTTGCTATGGATTAGGCTTTGGCTTAAGAAAATGTTGTTCTTGGTTTGGTCTTCTGTTCAGACCACTCAAGCTTTCTTCATATCAGCAATAAGGCTCTTTCACCTTCCTTCACTGTGTTCACTGGAGTAGCTCTTTTAATTTCCTTTAAACTTTTCCTTTGTATTCACCACTTGGCTAAGTGGCACAAGAGGCCTAACTTTTGGCTATCTCAGTTTTTGACATGCCTTCCTCAATAAGATTAATCATGTACAGCTTTTGATTTAAAGTTAGAGACATACCACTCTTCACTTAGAGGCCATCATAGGGTTATTAATTGGCCTAATTTCAACATTGTCGTGTCTCAAGGGAATAGGGAGGCCTGAGGAGAAAAAGAGAGATGGGAAATGGCTCGTAGCTGGACCATTCAGGACCCACGTATTTATCAATTAAGCTTGCCATCTTATATGGGCATGATTCATGGTGCCCCAAAATTATTGCAATAGTAACATTAAAGACCACTAATCACAGATCACGATAACAGATACAGTAGTGGTGAAAAAAATTGAAATATTGTGAGAATTACCAAAATGTGACAGGGAGACATAAAATAAGCACATGCTATTGGAAAAATGACACCTGTTGGATGCAGGGTTGACACAAACCTTCAACATCTAAAAAATTCAATATCTGAAAAGCACAATAAAGAGAAATACATTAAAACAAGGAATTACTGTACATACCAATACCACTCATGGACACCGACACCAGAATCTTCAATACATATTCACAGATAAAATTCTGGAATGCAAGGATGCTTCCATCCTTTGAAAATCAATGTATTTCATTTTATTAGCAGGCTAAAGAATAAAAATCATAGGATCATATCAATAGAAGCATAGAAGAGCATTTTACAAAATTCAGCATTTATTCATGTTAATAAAAAATCTTCATGTTTAGGTATGAGAAGAAAACTTCCTTAAAGGGCATCTGTAGACATTTACAACAGGGTTTCTCAACATTGATACTGTTGATATTTTGTATGGATAACTCTTTGTTATGGATTGGAAAACTCAGTGTTGTTAAGATGTCAGCTCTTTGCATATTGATCTATAGATTCAATGCAATCTCAAAGTTTTAAAGGCTTTTTTGTAGATATAAAACTTACTCTAAAATTTATATGGCTAGTCAAAGTAACCAGAATAGGCAAAATAATTTCACAAAGGAAGACCTAAGTTGGAACCTCAAACTATCTGATTTTAAGATTTGCTATTAAGATACAGTAATCAGTGTGTTATTGTTGAAAGCTTATACGTATAGATAAATAGAAGAGCTTTTAAAAAGATACATACGAATATACTTGATTCATTTTGCTAGATGCAAAGACAATTTAATGGAAAAGTGAAATCTTTTTAAAAAGTGCTAGGATAATTGGATATCTGTGTGCAAAAAAAAAATGCAACTTGTTTCTTACATCACATTATCTACAGCAGTTAGCTCAAAGTGGGTTATAGGTGTAAACATAAAATGTAAAAGAATAAAACTCTTAAACAAAAATGTAGAATATCTTTATTTACCTTTAATTAGGCAAACAGATTTTAGATTTAACAACAAAAGTACAATCCATAAAACAAAAAAAAAAAATTGATAAAGTGAACCTCATCAAAATTAAAAGCTTTTACTCCTTGAAAGACAGTCAATTATAAGACAAGGCATGGACCAGGAAAAAATATTTGCAAATCATGTATTTGACAAAGAGATTGTATTCATAATATGCAAAGAACTGCTATAACAACATTAATAATATGAAAACTAATTCAATTTTAAAATGTGCAAAGAGTTGAACAGATATTTCATCAAGGAAGTTACACATATTGCAAGTAAACAAATAAAAAGATGTTCAACATCAGTAATTAGGGAAACACAAATTCAAACCATATTAGGTACCGCTATACACCTTTATGAAGCTCTTTTCGGGGTAAGGAGCACATTGGATCTCTTATACATCACTGGTGAGAGTGCAAAATGGCAGACCCTCTTTGGAAAACAGTATGTCAGTTTCTTATAATGTTAAATATACTTTTATTTCCCTGTAGTCTCAAATCCCACACTTCTACTCAAGAGAAAGGAAAACGTAAGTTCACACAAAAACCTGTTTATAGCAGCTTTATTCATAACTGTCAAAAACTAGAAACAACACAAATATCTTTTATGTGATGAATGCATAAATTATTGTATGTTCGTACACCAACAAACTCAGTAATAAAAAGTGAAAAAAACATTTCCACACACAATAACGTGTATAAATGTCAGATACATTATGGCTACATGAAAGAAGAAAAACTCTAAAGGTTACTAGATGATTCTATTTATATGACATTCTAAAAAATACCAAACTGTAGTATCAAAGAATAGATAAGTAGTACTAGGGATTAAAGGTTGCAGGGTGGGGGTTGACTATATAGCATCATTAGTAAGGAACTTCTTTGCATGATGGAACTGTTACTTGTCTTATAATCATGGTTACGTGTCTCCCTCTATCTTTCAAAACTCATAGAACTGTATACCAACAGCAAATTTACTATAAAGAATAAATTTATAACTCCCCCAAATTCTATTACTTCCCATTAAAACATTTTTAAATGGGGAAGATCCCACTTTTTGATTATAATATATAGGATTCCAACTCCTTGATCCTCACTTACTTTAGAAAACTGGATAATTTGTCACAGAGCACAGTAAAAAGAAGTACCAAGGAATATTCCTTTACTATCACCCCTCCATATTTTTCTTGGCCAAATATTACTTCTGCTTTTCCTTTGCTTTGGAAATGAATCATAGCCTGAGTTCCCTGTTCTTTTTCTGAAACAGATGCCTTAAATTTGACAGTTAATATATACTTTCTGCTTTTTTTGGCTTCCCTCCACCCACAATTTTTTTTTAATAATTTTTCTATTCTCTTTACCTTATTCATTCTCTTATTCAAGAACAAATTTAGGCCCTGTGCTGGGGGCCCATGATACAAGATCAATGAGGTCCATGATACAAGATCAATGAGGTATGCTTTCACATGAAATTCAGTCTTGAAAGGTAGAAGAAGGACACATTAACAAATAATGGTGTATAATAATGTCATCAAGTCATAACAGAAGTATTAACAAGTATATCTCACAAGTAAATACCTGTTTTTCTTGGATGGGTCAGGGAAGGCTTTACACAATAAAGAGTTATAAAAGTATCTCAAATGAAAATTACAATTCTCTAAAATGTCATCTATGACTTTATGGACTAACTAGTAAGCCACATAGATTAAGAAAAATATGAAATTTAGCAGTAAAGTAGTCAGAGACAACATTGTAGACTTCATCTTGGTAGCATGAGGATGGGATATATCAGTGGTTTTTGTAAAGGCTATATGGGAAATAATGGATTAAAATGAAAAATTAGCCAGGTGCAGTGGCTCATGCCTGTAATCCCAATACCTTGGGAACCCAGGCAGGCAGATCGCTTGAGCCCCAGGAGTTCTAAACCCACCTGGGCAACATGGTGAAACCCCACATCTACAAAAGTAAATACAAGAATTAGCTGGGCATGGTGGTGTGCATCTGTAGTCTCAGCTACTTGGGAGGCTAAGGTAGGGAGGATCACCTGAGCCCAAGGAGTCCAAGGCTGCAGTGAGCCATGATTGTGCCACTGTACTCCAGTCTGGACAAGAGAGTGAGACTATATGTCCAAAAGAAAAAAAAGAAAGAAAGAAAAAAAGAAAAGAAAAAACTGAGAGCTGAGTATACTAAAGAACTATAGACTGTCAATTAGAAATGTAGCACTTATTAAAGAAAAAAATGATACATATAAGACACTGTTAAATTTGCTGTAATCTGCTAATTATACTTATTAACATTTGGCTTGCTGACTCACATTCAGTTAGATTTCATATTGATTAGCATTTTTTTCCAGTTATATTTGTGTACAGCTAATTTTTCCCCCACAAGTTACTGTTCCCTAGCCTTATCAGTCTTTTGATTTTTCTTGAGTATATCAGGCACATTCTACCACAAGGCACCATTGCACTGACTGTTTTCTGTGTAAGGAGCATACTTCTTCCAGTATCTGAATGGTTAACTCTCTCATCCATTTGAAAACTACTCAATGAGATTTAACCCTTCCACTATATTTTAAATGATAAATCACCTCCCCTTCTTTCAACCCCAAGCATTACTGCCCTCTTCCCACTGAGTTACATTGTCTTAACTTTAACATATTATGTTATTTACTTATTATGATTATTGTTTATTATCTTTCTTCACCTCCACTAAAATGTAAGCTTTACCAGGGTTAAGATATTCACCTGTTTTGTTCATTGATGTATCCCAAATCTCTAGAGCAGTGTCTACGATAAGGCAGAAACTCAGTCAATATTTGTTGAAAAATTGATGTAAGAGTAATATTTTCTATATTTTTTTCTGATAGGACTTGGATTTGGAAGCTTACAAAGAGTTAGAACTCCTGTGACTTGACATTTTAGAATTTCTCTAATCCGATTGAACTGTTAGGATACCTAAGCATTGCTCAGGAACTCTGGCTTGAACCTCAAAGCTCTTCCTGACTTAGAGGATAAATAGTTACCTCCCCATGAGGCCGTCTTTTGAAGTGTAGTATAAACATTGTTAGAAACAATGGATAATGATAAACCTGTTCATTTGGCTTTTGAGTTTTCTTTGTTCATTTTTGAAGATTTTCCAACATTTGTTGGAAAAAAATCTTGATTTGAACACAAATGAGACTTAAATTGTTTCTGTAGTAACATATGAACACAATTCATCCAATAAAATCCCATATACTCAGGCCAAAATATGATACCAGAGATAAGAAATTGGCTCTGAAGGTCACCAGAGTTTGGCTTTAGACAAGGCGAGGCCCCTCTGAGAAACATTCTTTTAAGTTATGTACTTGGAAATTTAGGAATGCTGAAGCAGATATTGTATCTCAGAATCATCATATTCACGTAATTCTTGAAGCATTCAGGGTTATATATACCTTAGTAAATTTGATTTGATGTTTTAAATTGCATATAGAATAAAATTAACCTCTATGTTAATGTTTTACAATAAATTTAAGGTTTGAGAGAAAGTTGGTAATTACATAGATTCTAAAAATTGAGAGCCACAAATTTTACATAAGGTGAAATATATATACACACACACACATAATTATCCTGTTATTTTAATTTATATTTATTAAGAAATGAAATTGAACGTATTTTCATGCTAGTCTTTTTTTCCATTTTCTGTTTATGAATTTTTGCCTATTTCTTTTGTGGAGAGAATCTTTAATTGCCCTAGAATAGGAAAGAAACTAATAATTATTATTATTATTTTTTGAGGTGGAATTTTGCTCTTTTTGCCCAAGCTGGAATGCAATTGTGCCATCTTGGCTCATCACAACCTCCGCCTCCGAGGTTCAAGCGACTGTCCTGCCTCGGCCTCCCAAGTAGCTGGGATTACAGGCATGCGCCGCCACGCCCATATTTTTAATAGAGATGGGGTTTCTCCATGTTGGTCAGGCTGGTCTCGAACTCCTGACCTCAGGTGATTCACCTCACGCTGGAATTACAGGTGTGAGCCACTGCGCCTGGCCAACTAATTATTTATGTCATGTGTGACTCATTTTTATATAAACCCATTTTGATCAATAGTGACCTTTTTTCTGTCTTGATATCAGTCTTCCTATGTGATTACTGTTGGTGGTTTATTATTTTATACTTATTTTTCATTTGAGACTTTATGATTTCTGTTTTAAAACATGAAATATTTTTATCTTAGTTCTATAATGTTTTATATTGTTTTGAATGTCTAAAATTTTATAACACAATTCTCATATACTTGGTTACTTGCTTCTGTTTGAGTCATATTATTGTGTCTTAACAAACACAGTCACTCTTAATTACTGTGTTTGTTATAGGTATTTCTGGGTGAAAAAAAATCTTAAGTATTTATATTTATTTATTAGGACATATCGACAAAATGATCTTGATATTTTATAACCAAGCCAGAATTTTCAAGGAGTTATTTTCATTCCCCAATTTAAATATTTACTTATTCACAGAATGAGAGATTTAATAATGGTTCTAAACTTTGGTTCCCTGGGGAATTTTTCAGGTTTATTTTACATTAATGTCACTTTCAAAATCTCTTTAAATAAAATGATTCAAAATTTAGATTTGGATTCTGCGGAAGGGAGAGTACCACAAAGAAGATGATATTATGAAAAGACTTAAATAAATTATACTGATAAAAATTATCTAAGATATTTTTGAATGTCTTTTTTTATGAGTTAAAGAAATGTTTTATTCTAAAATTTCTAAATTTCATGTCTTTAACAGAAATTGATGATCTCTGATGTTAGTTTGTTTGTGTTTATCTGTTTGTAGTCCTTTGAGTTTCTGTTAAAAAATTAATGAGACATTCCCAGTTTGACCTTGTGATTTTTGCAAATTAGCATAGAGTAATTTACAGTACTTGTAATGATCAAGTCATACTTTATTTTTAATCACGGAAAAATGCTTTCTTGTTAATTTTGTTACATAATTCAATTTTTGCTTTATTGCTCTAATATTGCTCATCTAAAGAAAGTAAATATTTTTCATTTTACTGAACAGGAGAAAGATTGCATAATGTAGTGGACTTTGTTCATTTTAGGAGGGTATTATAATAATAATCTCAGTTCCTACATCTTTCTGATATTCTAATCTCAATGAGTTGTTGTTTTCAAAATCATTTTATGGTATTATTACCTCTTTTCCTTAAGGTAAACAATATCACACTGCAAGCTGCTTTACTAGAAGTCTAATGATAAATTCCCATTCTGATGTATTATTTGTTCTAATATATACTATAATTAAGAGTTGATTGAAGTATGTTAGAATCTTGAATGCCAAATATTTATGTGTGTTTGCATATATACTATATTTTTACTTTAAATCTCTGAATTTTTAAATAACTCTCATAGAGATATTTTTAAAAAATTTTTAAATCCTGTATAGAGACGGAATCTCACTGTGTTGCCCAGGCTGGTCTCGAACTCTTGAGTTCAAATGATCCTCCTGCCTCCCCACCTCCCAAAGGTCCAGGAATACAGGTGTAATCCAATGAGCCTGGGTCCTAGATTTCTTGCTATAAGAAACTGAGATGACCCCATAGTACAGATATCTTTGATATATTTTATTCTTTTATTACTTTTATTATCCATAAATTCAAGTACCTTAATTTGATGGAAGGTATTAATTTCTATTCATTAATAGTTGCCACTGTTTAGTTGGTTGCCACTGTTCATGTGATCTTTATTTTTATTAAAATTTTTTTTACATTTTCTTTCCTTTAAAGTTATGACTTTTAAACTTCAAAAGATTTGCACAATTTAGATACTCAATATTGTAAAAATTATTAAATCAATGAACAAATACTTTGTTTCGAAGATATTAATACCTACCACCTACCTGTAAATGGCATTTTAAAGTAGTATTTTAAAGCTTAAGAAAAGTTATATACTGTTTCATTGTTAGCTCAATTATAGTACTACTGCATTTGTAACTGTTGCTTCACTGAATTTTTCTCATATATAAATACAAGGTTGAAGATTCACAATTTTAAGCAACTTTCCTTAACAGTATTAGTAATGAATAGAATATGTTCTATATGATATTGCTAATTTATAGACAAGACTTGTGAAAAGTCTGAATTATTTCTGATCATTTATAATTAGTTTATTTGGCTTACAAATGGCAATCCCTTTGCAGACTATTTTATCTAGGAGTATTTTCCATGATCCATCTTGGTACATTTATATAAAGATATTTACCTTCAAGTTTATTAGGAAAAAATATATATGCAGATAGGGAGAAAAAAATTAGAATAAATATAGCAAAAGCTAAAAGTTTACTTTCTGCGTTGTGTTAAAATTCTTCGATTATGTCAATCATAATGTTCAATGATCAAAGAAATGGAAATGAATAGAAAACAAAGTGGGAACATGACTGACATGAAAAATATATAAGATAAATATCATATTCATGAATTAGAAACATATTAACTCTTATAAAGGCAAATTTATTTATTTAAAGCAGTGGCCAGTAATCTTTTTTGTGTGAGGGCTAATTTCAGTATTAATAAAATTATGCATCAGTTATTTCATATTGAAAATTGCATACTCTTTGGGTCAGGAAGTGCTGTCTATCTTCCGTATAATTAAGCATTCTTCTATTGCATATTCATCTCTGAGTTGATTCTACCTTTGCCTAAGATTTCAGAAACTAACACCTAAAACAACTTTATGTGGTATGATTATACTGTTGTATTTGAATGAATGTTGTTCTTGAGCAAAACACTTTCTGAACCTGGTTTATTTGGTCTTGTCTCAACTGTTTTTCTAAGCTACTGTTTCACTTTCTTTTAACATTATATATTTTATAACAAAAGGTTTTGTTTCGATGGCAAATAAGAACCCCTTCTACAAACTAGCCTTGGGCCACTTTAAAATAATGTGACCTTTGTCATTCACTTATTTTTTAAAGGGCAGCACTTCTGCTTGCTAAGGATTTAAACTTTATATGAAAAATATTTATATTCCCTCTCATTACATGTTTCACTACCTCATTTTCCCCCCTTCCTTCTGAGGTTATCTGTGAGAACTCTAACCAACCAGGAAAACCACCTAATTATCCTCCATCAGTCAGGTCCTGCCTGTCTCCTAAGGGTAGAGCACCATGAGATGACAGATAACACTGATTGCTGGGTCTTGGTAGCTTTGTCTCTGAGCCTGTCTTGTCTCATCTATAAAATGAAAGCTGTTAAAATTTGATTACAGATAACTTGGAGTATAGTGGATTGTTGTTTGGTCTAGATATTTCTGGTGGCTTTTAACTTGTCTAGATTGGTTTAATCATATTAAATTATAATTAAAGCAATTAAATTCTACAAATTAGTGAAAATTTTAAGAAAATGTTCCCATGGTCTTTCACAGCCAAAATGAAAATCAGGGCACAGAGGCTAGCGTACTAACAGATTAAAAAATAGTAACAAACATAATCTAGGCCAGGCATGGTGGCTCACAACTGTAATCCCAATGCTTTGGGAGACCAAGGCAGGATGATCCATTGAACACAGTAGGATAAGACCAGCCTGGGCAACATAGCAAGATCTGGTCTCTACAAAAAAAAACAAAAACATTTGTGGAGCTTGATGACATGCGCCTGTAGTCTTAGCTACTCAGAAGCCTAAGGCAGGAGGTTTGCTTGAGCCCAAGAATTTGAGGTTGTAGTGAGCTATGAATATATTACTAAGCTACAGCCTGGGTAACAAAGTGAGACCCTGTCTCTTAAAAATCAATCAAACAAACAAACAGACAAACACAAAAGCCCTATAAATTGAGTTTTATGGTATTTTCAGTAATTGTTTTTCATCTTACCTGAGGGATTTATTAAGAAATGCCATAAATCTGGTCATGATGTAGCTTATTTGGTACATTTTTGTAGTAAAATATCTTTAAGTCAGATTTTCATGGAAAGTGTTTTTACTGATAAGTTTTTAGATCTATAAATCACAAACAATATAGAGAACTTTGTTTTAGACAAAGATAGTAAATGTAGTTTAAACGTTAAGAATTGATGTTATTTGCGATGAAAAGCATTCTATTCTGATTTACTTTTCAGTGCTGAGAAATTTCATTTCTGTTCGTTGTAGCTGTAGCAAGAACATCATGTTCTAATATGGACATTAACTAGCACACCAAGTTATGGATCCTTTTGGATATGTGTGTTTCCAAACTTAATATTTGTTTGAAATGTTACAGAATTAAGAGGATAGAAAGTGAATGGCAGATGCATAGATGTAGCACAACTGTATGTATCTCTTTCATTTTTCATGTCACATTACTAACTACATATGTTTGTCTTTTATTTGGTTTTTATAAAGGATCTAAGTGTTTGGAAAGGTGTGGGACCATGTGCTTTTCGAGATTTCAGTGTTTGACTATGAGAGAAGGAAATGTTTTTTGTTTGGAATGTTATTTCAGAAATTTGACTTTGGAGTTTTCCCATATTATTATACTAGCAATTCCCAAAGAACATAGTGAGAGTTCCTAGTACTTTTCCAGTTGGTGATTGCTAAACAAGAATTAGAAGCTATAGCAAATAAAACAGTCTTTTTAATAGAGTAGGCATTTAGTCAATGTTGGTTAAACTGACAATATTTTATGTCATATCTAAGTGCTGCTTTCATACAAGGAAGAAAACAAAAGTTTTAACAATTCTTAAGCAGAAAAAACAAAAGAGAAGGAACTGCTACATTTCAAAATATATTTGTTTATAACTTTTAGACAAGTTAACATTTAAAAATGTGTATTAAATTCTAAAGTTGGGAAGTTTCTGAGCCATATAGTTCCAAAGGAGTGATTTTTTTCCTAACCAATCTTACAAGTTCTGAGGTGCATAGCCAGCAAGTTCAGTCAAGCTGTCACTCATCTTGAGGTCTATTGTACTCATCAGTTTATTAGATCTGAGAAAGAATAATGGAGGTAAAAGTAAACAGGGAACAACTTCTGCTCACGTATTTCTATGATGTATAGACACCCTAGCCTCTCCAGTACAATAGGCTACAAGGAACTAGCTTCATTTACTTGCCAAGTGTAGCTCATATTTATCTTAACAGAGTTAATTTATTTGGTAGGTAAAAGTAGTGTTTACTGTTTCAAAATTACATGTAGCCATCTTACTTGGGCTATTCAGTTTGGAATTGTAAACATGATGGCAGGCTTCTTAAATATCTCTGTGTTGTTATTTTTTTTAAAGAGATTTCCCAAAGTTGCAGATGGCTGGCTCATCTCCAAATACCTCTTCAAGGTACTCTATGCTGGTGATGTCTCCCGCCACTGAGCTGCACGGGAGCATGGAATTGACTTTCGGGGGAGGGCTGTATCAGTTAAGTGATCTTTTTTAGTACCTTGCATGGGTTTCGCAAAGCTTTCTTTTTTTGTGTTTTTGTTTTTTTAAATCCAGAGGGCGCAAGTATGTTTATGCTAAATTTTAAAATTAAAATCTTATAAATCCACACAGTGTAATAACCTACTTACTTTTTTTCCCTCTCCCACATGATTCCTGCATATTTCTATTATGTTCCATGGCTTTAATCACTATATTTTATTAATCATACATACCAGTGTTATTTATACTTTCTTATTCTCTTAATAATATAAGATTTATTCATTATTTCCTTTATTGTGTAAGTGCTGTATAATAAATATTACATGCAAAGTAAGAGCTGAGGGAAGCTGTATGAATATTCCAGTCTCTCAGTGAAACATAGATGTGGCATTATCAACAATAACTGCTTTTTCATTCTTGAACCATTAGTGAGAATGTATTTCTTAGTTTCCTTTCTCCCAGGTAGAATGCATACCTTTATTTATTTATTCAGAACTTTTTTTAAAATTGAGTTTCTGCTGTATGCGAAACAGTGCTTGGCCTCTGTACTTATTATTATTTTTAAAGATTACAGCATAACAAAGGAGAAAAAGTAAAAAACAATATCATTTCCTTAATTCTAATTCCCACAAGTAGTCCTTTCAACAATTTTATCTATTTTATGTTCTGTACCTGTAGTCTTAATCACTACTGCCACATTATACTTGATTTCTTCAGAGGTACACATGTATGTGTAGCTCTTTGTGTGGACTTCCACCATCAGTGTACAAATTCAGTCCACCAGTATTTTAAGCCTTATGTTAATAATGCTGGTGGAAGAAAAAACAAAAAAAACCTTTGTTCTTCATTTCAGAGAGAGTAAAATTACTTGGATAAAAGGCCCATTAAGTTGATTCAATATTCAGATTTTTGCTGAACCTTGTCATCTTAATCTTTTTGTTTTGGAAAATTAAGAGTTGACTAATCGTTATGGTATAGACACATACTTTAGATATTTGTATATGTTTGTGATAAATTCCTTACTAGTGAATTATACATTAAATTGTCAATACCAAAGGATAATTACATTTTATAGATGAGGAACTGATTCATAGTGCCTAAATGATTTACTTGAAGTGTCCTGTAAGTAACATGTAGAACTAGCAATGTAAGTACAATTCAGTATCTAATGTAGATTCTGACTTCCTCAGATTCAATTTAAAATGTAGCTATTTTTAAGTGTTTACCCTTGTTCTATTTTTTAGAACATTAATTTGAGATTTTAGTTAGAAAATGAATCAGTGTCATAATTTTACCTTCAAAGCTGGATTGTCTGATAAATATAAACCTCAACTAATGATAGTACCTTTTTTAAAGGACAAGTTTCTGACCTTTTCAGAAATGGAAATTTTCTCTGTTTGATAAAATAGTATATAATATTAAACTGGCTTTCATAAATTAGCAGTAAGAAACTTGGGATTGCTGCTACAAAATTTAAAGTGAGAAGTTCACTTTAAATTTTAAAGGAACCAATTTCCTTTAAATACCTGACAACTTTTGCAGTGATATCAATAGTGGTTTATTAAAATGTGGTAGAACTGCCTTGTTGCTTGTTTATAGGCATAGCAGCTCAGAGATAATAGTGTTTAATATTGTCAAGTAGGTGATGTATTTTAACTCTAACAGATTTTTCATTTGTGAAATTGGTTTTTCATTTACTCTTTATATAGTTAAGTACTCTTAATAAAGGTGGGGAAATAAGTCACTTAACTGATTCATTTATGTTTTTTATTATGTTATGAAAAGATGATGGGTCAGCTACTGCTTAGTAGAGAACTACTTCAGAAAATTTAATTTCTGTTCTTAGAAGGTCTCCAGACCGTAAAATAAGATACAACCAAAACATGGACATACTGCAACATGTGAATAGATATCCTACTTAGATAGTATAGAAGAGTAATTTTAGAGTAGCATTGGACCCTAGAGAACACAGGCAATTTTTAGGTCCTCAAGATGAGGCAATTTAGTGGGAAAGATAATCACATAGCTGGTCAGTAACAGATTATCTTTTAGTCTAGCAAACTTTTCACCATTTGTTTCTGTGCCTAAAAATGAATAGAGTTGAATTGCTGGGATGGGAATATGTTTCAAAAAACTTGTTTAACTTTCTCATTGGTAAAAAGTTAACTTCCAAGAACACCTATCATTGAAAGCATATTATATCCCTATACTTATGAGAACTTTAGAAAGAATTCTCTTATTGACAGCATATCTCGTCTTTGGAATAGCATTTCTTCAAGATACGGAGTAGTCAGTTTCTTGCTATGTGATTGTCTTTTGTGCTTATTTTTAAAGGAAGTGAAAGTATTTGGGGAGTGGTTATTTATTACTTCGATATTTATTTTTAAAGGTATGAGCAGCTTGTAACTTTGTTTTTTAATTATCCTGTTAAATACAGGTTATAGACTATTACAGTCAATCTGTATTTATGTAAAAGTGATGTTCAAATAATATCTCAGATAACTAATTAAACACATTTTATATTTAACTAAATTAAACCTTTCTGTAGATGCAGAAATTATTATTTAGTTGAAATCATAGGACATACAGACAATTTATGTGAAAGCTTCTTTGGAGGTTCTGGATAGGGAATCTGCCTTCTCTTGAAGAAATCTTTCTGAATGTGAAATATTCAGTGTCTCAAATTAAGAGCTTCGCTTTGGAAATTTTGTAAATGGAAAAGGAAGGAAGGCAGAATCAAGCAAAGTCATCCTTACATCTATCTAATTGTGGAACAGATAAACATGTTATTATCTTACTGGTTGATTTATGGCCCTGCAAGTCATGATGATATGCCATCCTGTCAATTGCTTAGTTTCTCAGTTTGTAATCTGTGAAATCTTTTCATAATCTTTTGGGTAAAAGTCCTTGCAGAAAGCATGCCCTACCCATAGCAGGAGTCCCAAGGATTTAGTGCCCACTCCTTCTCTGCTTAACGTAACTCTAGTTTTCTACTTTTTCTATCTCTTTGTTTTCTCTCCTCTAAAACAGGGCTTTTTTTTTTTTAATACTCTTTGTTTGTCAATAGCTATACTTTGAAACATCTTACAAATTGATGTTTCAAACATCTTCATCTTACAAACATCTTCAGAGGTGATGGAGAGGAAGGCAGCAAATCACACTGCCATGTGTGTACCTATGCAACAATCTTGTATGTTGTTCATATGTATCCCAAAACCTAAAATGCAATTAAAAAAAAAGATTTCTCTTAACCACAAAAAAAAAAAAAGAAAAAAAAAGAAGGTTTAAAATTACATTACAGGAAAGCAAACCATGCCCTATGCAAAAGTCCTGGACCCTTGTACATTTCCTTAAAAAAGAAAGTCTTCTTGTTCATGGACAACCTATGCTTTATCTTTCTCCTTGGTTACCTATCTGGATTCCCACTACAGGTGGTTGCCATTGGCTAATACAGTGTTGTATTTTCCCTTGCCTATTTCTCTGACTTCTGTTTCCCATATTGCCTTTTTAAAGAGATTTAAACTCGACACAGAATCTTGGTGATACTCTTTTTTTAAGATTCTTTCCAGTGTATAGTACTTCATTTCTTGAAGGAAGTCTGGCAGCTGTAGCTCTCATTTTGAAATTATAGAATGATCCCAAATAGCAGAAGGTCAGGAAAATGAGTTGAAGTTAGAAACATTTGAGGAGGTTACTTTAGAACGGTTGATATGGGAGTGAAGTTGGATTATGGACTAAATTTGGAAGATTTCTCTAGATTCCAAAGCAAGCAATGTGAAGAATTTAAATTTGCATCTCATTCCTACTTCATTTTGTGGTGCAAGGAAAGCTTGGTCCCCAATACTACTTGTATGATAACAGTAGTAATAATTAATGCTTATTTAGAATTTAGTATGCACTAGACTCTGCTACTTGCTGTACATACATTATCTCATCTAATTCTTACAACGGTGCTATCCATTAGGTACTATCATTATTTTCAATTTACAGAAGAGGCCCAGATTCATAGAGTGAACCTGTCATTCGTTCAACATCCCATAGCTAGAAAGTGACCTAGTTCAGGGCCACCTGACTCAAAGCCCATGTTCTTAACCATGAGTCACCCTGCTTCCCCTCCAAATGGCTAACAAACTGATAACATGACAAGAAATACAAGTAAAGATAAACTATATTGAGGTATTATATAAGGAAACCTTTAGTTAAAAGAAGAGAAGGAAGAGAAGAAAGTGATGGAGAGAGATTACAAGGGAGAAGCCTGTAGATTTCTATTTGTAAGTAGCAAAATTTTATTTTCAAAGAGACATTGAATTATATAGTTATTAGAATAAAAATTTATAGATGCATTTGTTTTTATTTATATAAAGAAAAATTTGTTCAACATATTTGATGTTTGTAATCTATCATGTAAACACCTCACTAACAGACTTATCAAAACGATTGCTATAAAAAGATACTAATTGGATTTTTTAAAGTTTTTGTGTTTATTACAGTTAAGATGATCTGTGTCATGCTGATTTACCAATTTAATTTTCCAACAAATATTTATTGAGTGCCTACTGTTAGGCAAGCAAGCACTATGTCAAGTGTTAGAGATTGATCTAAAGACAAATAAAACAAAATTCCTGCCTTAGTGATCATGCCACCTAATATGTGAAATAATCAAGTAAAGAAATAATTTTGACGAGAAGTAAGCACAGGGTGCTGTGCCAACAGAGGGACTAACTGATGAGATCATGCATGGATTTCTGGAAGAGGAGGCCTTTAAAACACCCTGAATGATGAATAGGAGTTACCTATCATGACTTGTATGATTTCTATTGGTTGATTAATAATAAGTACCTCATTAGACATACTACGAGGAGATTTAAAAAAAATTCAAATGCTTACATCTTCTTCTAAAGGTTTTGATTATTCGGTTTGTAGGGAGGCTAAACATGAGTATTTTTTAAAAGTAGTCCTGTTATACTAATGTTCTACCATGGTTTGGAACCATTCAGATATTATCTTAGATGTTGGTCCTAAAATGGTGCTTGCTGACAAGAACATTTCTTGATGTTGCTATAGAGAAGTAATTACTGAGGAAGTGATTATTTAAAATAAATAATTAATTCATAATGAAAAATCATTTGTTTCAAAATGTAAAAGCACATCTTTCTACATAAAGATTAAATAACTTTCCTAGGGAACACTAATCATTCTAGACAACTAAAGAAAGTATTAAGATGTCTTTCATATCTCACTTAAAAACTGAGTGTACAAAATCTTTCCCATGAAACTAATATTAAGCCATGCATAGAAATTTTTTTTTCTTTTGACAAGAGTACTTCTCTGTCGCCCAGGCTGGAGTACAGTGGCTCAATCTCAGCTCACTGCAACCTCTGCCTCTCAAGTTCAAGTGATTCTCATGCCTCAGCCTCTCTCAAGTAGCTGGTAGTACAGGCACACACCACCATGCCTGGCTAATTTTTGTAGTTTTGAAAGAGATGGGGTTTCACCATTTTGGCCAGGCTAGTCTCGAACTCCTGGACTCAAGTGATCCACCCACTTTGGCCTTCAGAATTGCTGGGATTACAGGCCTGGACCCATGCCTGGCCTACATAGAAGTAGTAATACGAATATAACCTTTACACAATAGAACATTTGATCATGAACAGATACATAGCCAAATCTGAAAGATTACAAGTTTTTCATGAGTTCTTAACTAGAAGAGAGCAAACCAATAACAGTTAAAGGAGAGCTTTCTATAGATGAGAATGGTTGGGTGGGCAGTTATGCATTATTAGTGAATATAGGATACTAATTGATTTTATTTATTTATAAAGTAATCCATACATTGTATTCCTTTTTGAAGTATCCTTCCTTATGAAGAGGAGAAAAGAATTGTGGTAGTGGCTTTTTTTCCTGCTTTTCTAAGTAGAGAAGGTTTAGAATTCAATTGGCGACATTTATTAATGCTTAACTAGAAGCGCAGGAAGTGTTTAAATGACTGTATTAGATAATAGGATGTTAAATGGCAAGATGTTTCTAATGTCTAGTCCCTTTCATTTAGTTTGATTTTATTGTTGACAAATCCATGATCCAGACTCATTAAGTAAATTTCCCAAAGTAAAACCACTAGTTAAAAATAGAATAGGACTAGATTTGAGGATTTTTGACACCTAGATTGGTGGTGCCCTTTCCATTATAGTTCACTATAGTACCTTTGTTTTTTAGAATTTTATTGTTCTTGCCTTTTTAAGTCTAGTTTTCTTTTACTTTTTAAAATTTTGTATCGCAATTTGTCTCCTGTAGGTCAAGTAACCTGGTTTGGTTATGAAAGTCCTCGCAGCTTCTGGGACTATATCAGAGTGGCTTGCCGGAAAGTTTCACAGAATTGTATCTGCAGCATTGAAAATATGGAAAATGTCAGTTCTTCTAGAGCTAAGGTAAGACATGGTCAGAGGCTTGTTTTCATTTTTTTCTTCATGGCATGTATTTGGAATAGCAGGAAGGTGTGAAGCTACTTACTATTAATTTCCTTTTCTTAAGAAGCATAAAATGCTTCCTGTTCGGTGATGTTTCTACATTTCTTGAATTATCTAAATTAGTGGCTCTCAAATAATGTTCTGCAGAACACTGAAGATGTCCAAGACCCTTTCTTTAATGGATCCATAATGTCAAAAGTATTTTTGTATAATATCAATATGTTATTTGCCTTTTCACTGTGTTCACATTTGCATTGCCAGTACAGACACAATGGGGGATAAAACTATTGGAACCTTAGCATTAATTAATGCAGTGACATGAAACCATGCAAGCAGTCTTGAATTCTTCCTAGTATTTTCTTTTAAAGGTAGCTTCAATTTAAGAATGAACATGATGATCTAGGAAACATTAATTCTTATTAAATCTTAACCTTTGAGGACTTGTATTTTTAATATCCTGAGTAATAAAAAGGAAAGTATGCATAAAGCATTTCTGCAACATACTGAAATATGATGGTTACTTCAAGAAAAGCACTTGTAAAATTGTTTGAATTATGAGCTGAACTAGGTACTTTTTATGTAATATGATTTTATTGGAAAGAAAAACTTATAAACCATAATTTTGTGGACTTAGGCATTTGGCAGATCTTTTCTCAAAAAAAGAAAGTAAGAAAGAGGTGAGCCTATTACTTCAAGGAAACAGCTGAAAGTATTTGTTGCCAATGG